GATCCAACATGGGAAGTGAGATACTCAGCAGACTCATAGAATGGCGGATGTCCTAAACAGCACTCTGGCCTCAGAATCAGCCCTAAAGGCATTCCGATCTGGCTGAAAAGCCCATGAGAGTATTTCAGGCATGGAAAGCCAAGACACTCTGGCAAAAAAAAAAAAAAACCCTAAATGAAAGATCTCTGTGAGTGAGATCCCAGTGGAAAGAACAGGTCTTCAAAGAAGGAGGTACCTTTCTCTGAAGGGAGGAGAGAACCTCCACTTTGACTATGACCTTGTCTAAACAAGATAAGAGTCGGAGAACTCAAAAGGCTTCCATGGCCTTGGAAGCTCATGACTGGTGCATAGGGAGATTACTGATGCCATAGACAGGAGTGTCAATTTGTAAAGTCAACAACAGGAGTCACTGTGCACTTACTCCTCATGTAGGATCTCTGTCCTTAATGTGCTGTACATTGAGACTTAATGCTATAATGAGTACTCAAACAGTATATATCGCTTTGTGTTTCTATGGGGGTGCAAACTGTTGAAAGCTTTACTTCCAACTCTACCAATTGGGGCAAGTCAGCCCGAGCATGCCCCAAATTATACATCTCTTCCCTCTCTTATTCCCACTCTTATGTTTAACAGGGATCACATTTCAGTTAATTTTCCACACTTAAGAATAACTGTGTGATAATTACAGAATTAAACCAGTCATATTAAGTAGAACAGACAAAAAAAAAATACTAAGAGGGATAATGTATTAAGTTGTCCATTAGCAGTCTGGGCTATGCTGATCAAGTCACCATTTCTCATAGTGTCCATTTCACTTCAGGAGGTTTCCTTTTTGGTGTTCAGTCAGTTGTCACCGATCAGGGAGAACATATGGTATTTGTCCCTTTGGGACTGGCTTACTTCACTCAGCATGATGTGTTCCAGATTCCTCCATTTTGTTGCAAATGACTGGATTTCGTTGTTTCTTATTGCGGTATAGTACTCTAAAGAATACATATCCCATAATTTCTTTATCCAGTCTACCGTTGATGGGCATTTAGGTTGGTTCCAGGTCTTGGCTATTCTGAATTGTGCTGCAATAAACATTAGGGTGCAGACCGCTTTTTTGTTTGCCAATTTAAATTCCTTTGGGTAAATTCCAAGGAGTGGGATGGCTGGGTCGAACGGTAGGGTTATATTCAGGTTTCTGAGGAATCTCCAGACTGATTTCCATAGTGGCTTGACCAGTTTGCATTCCCACCAACAGTGGGTTAGTGTCCCTTTTTCCCCACATCTTCGACAGCATCTGTTGTTGGTAGATTTCTGTATGTGAGCCATTCTAACCGGGGTGAGGTGAAACCTCATTGTGGTTTTGATTTGCATTTCCCTGATTGCTAGTGACCTTGAACATTTTTTCATGTGCCTGTTGGCCATTTGGATTTCCTCTTTTGAAAAATGTCTATTGAAGTCCTTGGCCCATCTCTTAAGTGGGTTGTTGGTTTTGTTTTTGTGGAGTTTCTTGATCTCTTTGTAGATTCTGGTTATTAACCCTTTATCTGTTGCATAGTTTGCAAATATTTTTTCCCATTCTGTCGGTTGTCTCTTCACTCTCCTGACTGTTTCTTTTGCAGTACAGAAACTTCTCAATTTGATGCAATCCCAATAGTTGATTTTGGCTTTGACTGTCTGCCTCCCGGGTCTTTTCCAGAAATTCTTTGCCTGTGCCAATATCTTGAAGGGTTTCTCCAATGTTCTCTAATAACTTCATGGTGTCAGGATGTAGATTTAGGTCTTTAATCCACGTTGAGTGGATTTTTGTGTAAGGTGTAAGGTAGGGGTCTTGCTTCATGCTTCTGCACGTGGAAATCCAGTTTTCCCAGCACCATTTATTGAATAGACTGTCCTTGCTCCAGGAATTAGTTTTAGATCCTTGATCAAATATAAGTTGGCTGTAGATGTTTGGATTGATTTCTGGTGTTTCAATTCTGTTCCATTGGTCTATCCATCTGTTTCTGTACCAGTACCATGCTGTTTTGATTACAACTGCCCTGTAGTATGTCCTGAAATCTGGTATTGTGATGCCTCCGGCTTTGTTTTTGTTGTACAAGATTGCTTTAGCTATTCGAGGTCTCTTGTGCCTCCATATGAATTTCAGCATCATTTTTTCTAGATCTGCGAAGAATGTCTTTGGTATCTTGATTGGGATTGCATTGAATCTATAAATTGCTTTTGGGAGAATGGACATTTTGATGATGTTGATTCTTCCAATCCATGAGCATGGAAGATTTTTCCATTTTTTGGTATCCTCTTCTATTTCTTTCTTTAAGGTTTTGTAATTTTCATCGTAGAGATCTTTAACGTCCTTGGTTAAGTTTATTCCAAGGTATTGGATTGTTTTTGTAGCTATTGTGAATGGGATTGATCTTAGCAGTTCTTTCTCAGTCATGGCATTGCTTGTGTATACAAAGGCTGTTGATTTTTGTGCATTGATTTTATATCCTGCCACTTTGCCAAACTCCTCTATTTGTTCCAATAGTCTCTTAGTAGAGTTCTTTGGATCCTCTAAGTACAGAATCATATCGTCTGCAAAGAGGGATAGTTTGACTTCTTCCTTCTTGATTTGTATTCCTTTGAGGGGAGAGTGATCCAACATGGGAAGTGAGATACTCAGCAGACTCATAGAATGGCGGATGTCCTAAATAGCACTCTGGCCTCAGAATCAGCCCTAAAGGCACTCGGATCTGGCTGAAAAGCCCATGAGAGTATTTCAGGCATGGAAAGCCAAGACACTCTGGCAAAAAGATCGCTGTGAGTGAGATCCCAGTGGAAAGAACAGGTCTTCAAAGAGGGAGGTGCCTTTCTCTGAAGGGAGGAGAGAACCTCCACTTTGACTATGACCGTGTCTAAACAAGATAAGAGTCGGAGAACTCAAGGGGCTTCCATAGCCTTGGAAACTCATAACTGGTGCATAGGGAGATTACTGATGCCATAAACAGGAGTGTCAATTTGTAAAGTCAACAACAGGAGTCACTGTGCACTTACTCCTCATGTAGGATCTCTGTCCTTAACGTGCTGTACACTGAGGCTTAATGCTATAATGAGTACTCAAACAGTATATTTCACTTTGTGTTTCTATGGGGGTGCAAACGATTGAAATCTTTACTTAATGTACACTAAACTGATCTTCTGTAAAAAAAAAAAAAAAGAAATTATCAATTCCCAACTTGACTCTCACTGGGATTAAACATGACAATAGGTCTGATCTGATTTCATCATCATTTAAAAAAAATCATCTATTATTTTTCACTTTATGTTTCTGTGTGGGAACAAACTGTTGAAATCCTTACTTAAGGTATACTAAGCTGATCTTCTGTATATTAAGATAATCGAAAATGAATCTTGATGTGAATGGAAGGGGAGAGGGAGTGGGAAAGGGGAGGGTTGCGGGTGGGAGGGACGGTATGGGGGGGAAAGCCATTGTAACACATGAGTCGTACTTTGGAAATTTATATTCATTAAATAAAAGATAAAAAAAGAAAATGATCCAGATACAAAAAAAAAAAAAGAAAGCTTTACTTAATGTATACTAAACTGATCCTCTGTAAAAAAAAAAAAAAAAAAAAAAAAGAAGAAGAAATTATCAATTCCCAACTTGACTCTCACTGGGATTAAACATGACAATAGGTCTGATCTGATTTCATCATCATTTAAAAAATCATCTATTATTTTTCACTTTATGTTTGTGTGGGAGCAAACTGTTGAAATCTTTACTTAATGTATGTTAAACTGATCTTTTGTATATAAAGAGAATCGAAAATGAATCCTCATGTGAATGGAAGGGGAGAGGGAGTGGGAAAGGGGAGGGATGCGGGTGGGAGAGATGTTATGGGGGGGAAGCCATTGTAATCCATAAGCCGTACTTTGGAAATTTATATTCATTAAATAAAAGTTAAAAAAATGAAAAAAAAATAAATAAGAGTGCCAATTGTTAAATCAACAATGGGAGTCACTGGGTACAGGCTCCCCATGTAGGATCTCTGTCCTTAATGTGTTTTACTATGAAACTTAAAAACAACACTACCAGTCGAACAATGCCCTATACCTTGTGCGGTTGTGTGAGTGCAGCCTGTTGAAATCCTTGCTTAGGGTATACTAAGTTGATCTTCTGTATATGAAGGTAATTGAAAATGAAACTCAATGGAAGGGCGGGATGTGTGAGGGAGCGGGAGACAGGAGGGCCGCGGGAAGGAGGGAGGTTGGGGTGGGGAGCCACAATGATACAAAAGTTGCACTTTGTAAATTCACATTTATTAAATAAAAACAAAAAAAAATAAAGAACTAATTCCAAAAAAAAAAAAAAAAGTGGAGCAGCAGGACTAGAATCAGCAGCCATATGGGATGCCTATATTGCAGGTGGTGGCTGAACCTGTTATGCCACAATGCTGGCCTCTAAACTATACACTTTAAATATGTCCATTTATCACATGAGAATTCTATTTTGCTAAAAAGAACATGAATTAAGATGTCTGTACAGTATGCCTCTGAAGATGGTAGACTGAATACAGACCACAGTCATCACTCCTGAGTCACCTTAACAATTCAGTTCTCACAGTGACTTCAGTGGTAAAAGGTCATAGGAGGTGATACTGGAAGCTTAATCCTGGTCTCCTGTCAGAGCCCACTCTGGTGCTGCTCGGTGACTGTGGGGCCAGTGATGAGTTTTCCTCCTCAAAGATCAATCCCCATGTGGATCTTTTAACTCAGTGACCAAAGACATGGGCCCCCACTGGCATATTCAATAACCTTGGAAAACACTCAGAAACAGTTGCATCTATACAGAACATGTAGAGGTCTTTCTTGTCATTATTCCTCAGACTACATATTCCTTTTCAGTGCCTTTACATTGTATTAGGCAGTACAATTTGTAATGATTTATTGGCACAGGGATGACTTAAGTCACATGCAAGATGTGCATAGTTATTTCCAATCCCATGGGCACTTTATAGAAGGGACTTGAATACCTGTGTGTTTTGGTTACTGCTGGTGCTATGGGTGTGGTCCTGGAACAAATGAACAAAAGGCTGTTGAGGGACAAATGAGTTGTCTTTTTGTTGCTGTTCTTCATATTCCTGTAGGAAGATGAAAGGAAATGCATTCACTCAAGAATGGTGTTGCCATCTTCTTGGCAAAATAAGAAATGATTTCTTCCCAGGCCCAATCATGGATCTCTTTACTGTGGGCTGCCTGGAGGAGCCACCTGGGTCAGAGTAGGAATGAGTAAGTTCTCGCAGTTGGGTGTGCCGTCAAATACAAGAACGGCTGCTGTATTTCCACGAGATGATGGAGAAAGTCAGCATCATGCACTGAACCAGAGAATGGGGACAGCTGCCTGATGCCTGATGACAATGTTGCGTGTACCTGAGGATGTTCCTCAGCCGCTCTGTTGCTCAGTTCCCTGCCTGTGGTGTGGAAATGTTAATGAAACCTGTGTTAGGATGACTGTGAGGTTAAAACTAAGTAAATCCAAATCCTGAAGAAAATAGCTGGTATGTCCTAAGCACCACTGATGTAAGCATTACTTCCCAAGTCTGTGGAAGCGTAAGACCTACTGCCCATATAAACACTCTAATTCCCAAACGGTTCAACCCTGTATTTTTGACTCCCCAAATTCTGTCCTTGACCCCTTCACACCCTCCCACCACTACTAGACAAAGTCTCTTTTGTGCACCATTCTGCACAAGTGAGGAAATACAAAGCACAGGGCCCTTCCATCCTTGTCCAAAGCCCCTTGGTCAAGCCTGAAGATCAGATCACTAGAGGTCTCTCTTTGCCACCTGATTTATCTTCCTCACTTGTGACATGGTCATAATAATAATATCAACCTCAGAGAGATTCTACAATACTTAACTCCATTTGTGGTGGTTGTGACAAAAAAATACTTCTCATGATACAGTATTGAGTCAAAGCCCAACAGAAAACACACATGAGGCATGTGCAGGGAGACAGAGTTGCGAGAGACCTCACTTTTACCCAGGAAGGTGGCTGCCTTCAGCCCAGCGAGTGTGAACCAAACCTGTTTTTGGTCACACATACACCTGTCCACTGTCTACTGGGGTGTAACTGTACTACATCCTGTGAGGGCTGAAGCCCACCCTTGGGGATTGGAAACCCACAGATGTTTTCTCCCTTAGGTGTCCATCCTGAGCCATATGAAATCTATTGGAATTCTCTTCACAACAGAGTAACTCTTCTAGCATAACTTCATAATTCTTCGTTACCTTATCCTAATTGAAATACTGTATGAGTTCCTGGATGACTTAGATGAGGGACTTTATTCCTTCATGCCTATCTCTGCTTGTATTTCTTGCACAAGAGTTATTAATAGAGGATGGTGCTGTGGGAGAGAAGGTAAAGCCTCCACCTGGTGGGGTCAGCATCCCATATTTTTCCAGTCTGGGCTGCCTCGCTTCTGATCCAGCTTCCTGCTAATGGCCTGGGAAAAACAGCAGCAGATGGCTCAAGTACTTGGGCCCCTGCATCCATATGGGGGATCTGGATGAACTCCTGGCTCTGCGCTTTGACCTGGCCTATCCCCTGCTGTGTGGCCACCTAGGGGTGCACCAGTGGATGACGGTCTCTCTCCTTCTCTCTCTGTATCTCTGCCTTTCAAAAAATAAAACCTGTAAGAAAAGTGTTATTAATAATTACTCTGAACTAACTCAGAAAATGAATTCCCACTTAGTTTACCTAAGGGTTGAGAATCACCATTCCACAAAGTTGGATATTCAGCAGGTTTGCTTAGAAATTACATTGCATTGGGTCAATCATTTTTTATGAATCACCTTGCTCCTAAGGTTGAGCAATGATTAGAAAGAATAAAGGTTATTGTTGGCTTTTTTATCCATCCTTTAAATGTGAAACAATTCATGTGCAAAAGGAACATAGTTGAAGCTCCTGTTATATCTCCAACCAGCTCTCATGTTTCCTGTTCCCAACTACTGTTTCTTCAGTCAGTGCTGCACCATGCCTGTCTCCACCCAGCTGCTCTGTGGGATGACTTATGTATAACTGAACACGCTCCTCAACCACCTCAAGGCTAACACATTGGAGAAACAAACTGATCTGTCCATGGGGGTAGGGGACTTGCAAGGATCAACCCAATAGTTGATTCAAATGGAGAATGAATGATGCTGGGGAAGGCCCATGCTGCAGAGTCAATTCTGTGTTGACTTGAAGTTGTCAGGATTTACTATTTCAATTCTCCATGAAACCCAGTCATCACTAATCCCAGGGATTACAAACCAAACTGTCAGTGTGAGGGAATGTGGAAATGACCGAAATGTGGATGCTGTTGAGCCTCCCCTGGGGTTCTCTCCATGACTGGCACACTCAGCAGTACACAGGGAACACAGCAGAGCAGCCAAAGATTCACATCCATACCTGAGTCTCTTGTTTTGGGGTGCAGAGATTAAAAACAGTGAGATTTTTGAGGTCCAATTAGGAATATTTAGTGTCCAGCTGGTGACTGCCCTCTCAGAGCAAGTCTGGAGAAGACAGCAGAGAGTTGCAGGGACAGAGAGTCTGTAAAGGCAAAACCTACTTTTTATCAGTCATTTAATTACATGTGCAGGGTTCTGCAAGCAGGACTCAGACATACAGAAGCGAGAAGCACTTAGCCAATCAGCCAGTTTCTTTGTAACCTTATTGAAAAACGTAAAGATTTAATTATTTGATTGTTCCCAGTCAGGGTCAAACATGGTGCCACTGACCTTGGTGCCACCTGTGTGATCTTGTGGTTGCATCCAGGACAAGACAGGAGAAACCGTAGTCTTTTGGCCTTGGCCATTATCAAGCAAGCGGAGGAACAGAAGCCAGAAATGGGAGGAGGGCAAGATGGCAGAATAGGAAGGGAGCACATCAATACTCCGGGAAGGACAGTTTAATAAAAGTGGAGATACTGCAGGTTCAAGGAAGAGTTAGGGAAGAAACAGCAGAGGAGACTCTTACGGAACTACTGGTTCATGGTGGACCTACATGGAGGGAGGAATCAAAATGAAATGCAGGAACTAGTAGAACAGGAAATTGTGATAGTGAAGAGAAAATGAAATGAAATGAAGAATTCAATACATCAAATGACAAACACATTAGAGAGCCTTAAAAACAGAGTCAGTGAAGCAGAAGAGAGAATATCAGACTTAGAAGATAGAGCACAGGAAAGTTTACAGTCAAACCAAAGAAAAGAAGAGGAAATTAGAAATCTAAAAAATATTGTTGGGAATCTACAGGATAGTATTTAAAAAAAAAAAACAACATAACATTTGAGTTCTAGGAGTTCCTGAAGGCATGGAGAGAGAGAGAGAAAGGATTAGAAGGTCTTTATAGTGAGATGCTAGCAGAGAACTTCCTGGGTTTGGAGAAGGACAGAGAGATCTGGTCCTAGTACAGGAAGCTCATAGAACCCCCAATAAACATGACCAAAAGAGATCCTCGCCATGACACGTTGCAATCAAACTCACCACAGAGAAACATGAAGAAAAGATCCTAAAATGTGCAAGAGAGAAACATCAGATTACTCTCAGAGGATCTCCAAACAGACTCACAGCTTACTTCTCAGCAGAAACCCTACAGGCTAGGAGGGAATGGCGAGACATAGCCCAAATACTAAGAGAGAAAAACTGCCAGCCCAGAATATTATATCCTGCAAAACTCTCATTTGTGAATGAAGGTGAAATAAAGACCTTTCATAGCAAACAGAAATTGAAAGAATTGGTCGCCACTCGTCCAGCCCTGCAAAAGATGCTTAAAAATGTGCTACACACAGAAACACAGAGCCATGGTCATCAATATGAAAGAAGGTCAAGGAAGAAAACCTCACAGTAAAAGATCACACGAAGTTCAAAGCATATATTAGAAAATATCTTTGGGAAAATGGCAGGGAAAAGTTACTACTTATCAATAGTCACATGGAACATCAATGGCCTCAACTCTCCAGTTAGAAGACACAGATTGGCTGAATGGATTAAGGAACAAAACCCATCGATTTGCTGCTTACAAGAAACACATCTTTCCAACAAACATGCATGCAGACTGAAAGTGAAAGGCTGGAAAAAGATATTCCATGCCAACAGAAATGAAAAAAGAGCAGGCAGAGCCATATTAATATAGGACAACATAAACTTTAACACCAAAACTGTTAAGAAAGACAAAGAGGGGTGCTATATAATGATTAAGGGATCAATTCAACAGGAAGATAGAATGATTATAAATGTATATGCACCTAACTACAGGGCAGCCGTTTATTTAAAAGATATGTTAAGGGACTTCAAGGGATACTAAGACTCCAATAGAATAGTACGGGGGACTTCAATACTCCACTCTCAGAAACAGACAGGTCAACCGGACAGAAGATCAACAAAGAAACAGTAGATTTAAACAACACTATAGCCCAAATGGATCTAACATATATCTACAGAACTTTTCATCCTACACTTAAAGAATTGACATTCTTCTCAGCAGTACCTGGAACCTACTCTAGGATTGACCACATACTAGGCCATAAAGCAAGTATCAGCAAATTTAAAAGAATTAGAATCATACGATGCAGCTTCTCAGACCACAGTGGAATGAAGTTGGAAATTAGCAACTCAGGAATCCCTAGAGCATATGCAACCACATGGAGATTGAACAACATGCTCCTGAATGAACAATGGGTCATAGAAGAAATCAAAAGAGATATCAAAAGCTTTCTGGCAGTAAATGAGGATAACAACACTACATATCAAAACTTATGGGATACGGCAAAAGCAGTATTGAGAGGCAAGTTTATAGCAATAGGTGCCTACATCAAGAAATTGGAAAGGCACCAAATAGATGAGCTTTCAATTCACCTCAAGGATCTAGAAAACCTACAGCAAACCAGACCCAAATCTAGTAGGAGAAGAGAAATAATTAAAATCAGAGAAGAAATCAACAGGATTGAATCCAAAAAAAACTTACAAAAAATCAGCCAAACGAGGAGCTGGTTTTTTGAAAAAATAAACAAAAGTGACACCCCATTGGCCCAACTAACTAAAAAAAGAAGAGAAAAGACCCAAATCAATAAAATCAGAGATGAAAAAGGAAATGTAACAACAGACACCACAGAAATAAAA